AAAAAAAAAAAAAGTCAATAAAGTACTTTTTTAGTATAGAAGTCTATATTTCCACAAAAGATACAGAGGGGAAAAAAGGAAATTAAATTTAAAATCTAGCAGCAGGGATAGCTGTTTAGAAAGTAGAGTTCCCTAAAATCTATTTGCATTATCAAAATAAATATTACACATCAACAGATAAAGACTAATGGAATAAACCAAAGAATTAGGTCTAAGTACACTCAAAAGATGGTCTATTTAATGAATGGGGTTACAATAAGTGGGTAGCCAAACAGAAAAAAATTAAATCGTATCATCACATACACTGTTACAGTCCAAAGTAAAACTTTTAACATAAAAACATGAAAACGTAGAAGTGCATGAAGAAGAAAATTCTTTTAAACACTAGCATGTGAAAAGATCTTTCTAACCATGAATGCAAATCTGCAAGTCATAAATTTAATTACAAATACACTAAACATAAATTCTCCCTGGCAAAAAAATCATAGGCAAAAAAGTTAGAAAAAGACCAATGAGGGGTGAGGAAAATACATGTAACTCCTATCTTAAAGAGCTAATTTCCAAAAACAGATCCCAGACACTGTAAGAATCTGACAACAGAGAAACAGACCAAATGGATATATCCAGAGAAATGACTCTTAAGCTATGAAAAAGCATGCCTAACTTCATTCATAATAAGTAAAATGCAAATTAGATCTACATGACAGAGGAAGGATTCTGGGAAGATGGTGGAGTGGGAAGCACCAGAAATCTCTCCCACCTAGCCTACAATTGCATTGGCAGTTTCTGTCTGATATAAATATTTTGGAATTCTGGAGTCTACTGAGGGCTTGCAACTTACAGAGGAAGACTTGAATGTAAATTGTGTTTAATTCGGGCCAATTTTAGCTTCTAGCACAGTAGCAGCTGGTCATCCCCCACCCCTCCACTCAGTGGCAGCAAAAAGCAGAAAAAAGCTAACAGCCTAAATTTTCATAAATAGAGGGCTAATAAATGCTATATCCAAACAGTGGCAATACTATTTGCTCTATAAAAAGAAAAAAGTTCTCTTCTGTATGGATATGAAAAGATCTGCAAAATATCTTGGGGGAAGGAAGCTAGTTATAGAACAGGGTATAAAAATAAGCCACCACTCCCATTGAAAAGGGGCAAAATTAGAACACGCATGTGAATATGTTTCCACACGCAGATGGAAACTAGAGAAGGATGGCTATGGGCACTGGACAGATGGAAAAAAAGTAAAAAAGACTTTTCAACCTATACTGCTATATTTATTTTAGATTTTAACTCATAGGACTCTTCACTCAAATTTTAATTTAGATTTAAAATAAGCTATGAGAGCAACTTTCCACATGTTTTAACACAGAACAATTAACGATCCATTGCATATAGTTTAGATCTCATCATCCTGCAGGGAGACTGGCCAACAGATGACCTGATTTTTCAGTTCTCCTTTCAAGTGAAAGATTTGAACTTGACAGTCCCACTTTTTTTTGTTGTTGTTGATTTTTGGGTTTTTGGGTTTTGGGTCTAACATCTCTAGACCAGGAAAAAAAAAAAAAAAACAACAAACTCAGAATAAAACTGTAGCAGTCATCTTATTTAATATTCTGATCAATGCGTTAAACTTTACAAAATCCCTATGAAGTCATCTCTCAGCCTCCCTTGGAGTCTATTAAAGCTAACACACACCTTCATTGCCTCACAATGAAGCCTATACAAATTTTCAAGAATTGAAATTTGCTTCCCTTCCCTTAGGACTTTCACACAATCCTAGTTCTAGCACCAGGACAAAACAGACTAAACATTACTTTCTTCAACATAGCTGTTCAGAAACTGGAAAACAGGTACTGGCTTATTTGTGAGTCTTTGCCTTTCCAGGATAAAGTCTGCCAGTTCCCCAACACCCTAAAGGTTTCTTCATAAATTAAACATTCAACCATTAAATAGAAGTTCGTTACAGGTAAGTATAAAAAAAGCACATTGGAAGATGTAACATACAAACAGAGCTCATAACAATAGTAATGTCCGTCTTAAAAATACTGAGCCAACTGATCATAATTCTAAGACAGTGTGGGCAACACAGAAGGGGGGGACCACTTCCCACATTCTAATCACTCTTAATTCAAACCAAAAACAAATGAACTCTTCTTGGCAGTCACATCAACTGACTCACATCATGCTTATAAACAAAAATTTCTATAACATTCTTACCTGCGTTTCATTAAGCCATGTTTCATCTTGCTAGATTTGGTCTACTATTCCAGTTGATTAATGTTTTATTAGAATTCTAATTCCTTCACCCAATGACCAAATAACACTCCTAGCTTTATGTCCACTAACATAAG